GAGTCGCAATCTGGCATGCTGCACCACGTAGGTGCAGGACGCCATGTGGCCCAGCAGCCTGAGACACTGCCTCGCTATGGTGGTGGGAAAGCTGCAAAGGCTGCTGATTATCTGCAAGAGGGCCAGATGCCATGCCTCTGGGAAGAACGCTCTCGCTTGATTGGCATCAAGGACTGCCCTGATGAACTCTATTCTTTGAGTCAAGGTGAGGACGGATTTGCTGACATTGAAAATGATGCCTAAGCGTTCGAACTTGACTCTGACCATTTGCACCTGTGATTCCACCTGCTGACGAGAGCAGCCTCAGAGGAGCCAGTCGTCCAGGTAAGGGTAGACATGCATGCGATGGCGGTGAAGGAACGCTGCCACGACCGCCATGCATTTGGTGAAGCCGCAGGGAGCCATGCATAAACCGAATGGGAGAGATGTGAATTGATAATGTACCTTGTTTACCACGAAGCAGAGGAACCATCTGTGAGACGGGGTGATAGATATGTGAAAATAGGCATCCTTCATATAGAGGACGGCGTACCAGTCTCCCGGATCCAGAGAAGGGATGATTGTGCTCAAGGAGACCATGCGGAACTGCTAAGTACCCTCAGGTCCAGAAGTGGCCTTAGGCCTCCCTTTGCTTTGGGGACAAGGAAGTAACGGGAGTAGAAACCCTTGTCTTTGAGCTCCTGGGGCACCTCCTCCACTGCTCCTAGAGCGAGGAGGATCTGAACCTCCTGGATGAGAAGTAGCTTGTGAGAGGGGTCCCTGAAGAGGGACGGAAAAGGGGGATGGGAGGGTGGGGAGGAGCAGAAGTGGATAGAATATCCAACCTCTACTGTGCGGAGCACCCACCGGTCCGACGTAATAAGGGACCATGCACGGTAGAAGCGGGATAGACAGTTCACAAAGGGAGGATAAGTGGCCGGGTTGTGGACTGGTAATCCGTCCTCGTGCACACCTTCAAAAGGGGTGCTTAGGGCCTGGAGGGGGCTTGGACTAGCCCTGGCCCTGCCCAGGAGGGCGGCGCGACAGCCTTCGCCGACTATATCTATTCCTCCTGTGGGAGAAGTCCTGCCTGGGCCTAGTGGGGAAAGACCGCTGCTGGGTGGTCTGCACTTTGAAAGCCTTCCTTTGGGTCACCGAGACATGCATGCCGAGGGACTTAATGGTGTTACGGGAGTCTAGAGTTTGTCTGCTCAGGCCATCAAACGGGAGGTCCTGAATTGTTTGCTGAACTTCAGAAGGGAGACCCGAGGATTGGAGCCAGGCATTGCGTCTCATCGTGATACCCGACGCGAGGGTACGTACTGCCGAGTCCGCGGCATTCAAAGAACCCTGGAGGGGAGTCCAGGCTACTATTCTGCCCTTCTCAGCGATGGCCCCCAGTTCAGCCCTTGACTCAGATGGGAGAAGCTCTTTGAACTTTTGAATCGCAGACCATGCATTGTAACTGTACCTGCTCAGGATTGCAAGCTGGTTAGCGATCAGGAGAGAAAGGACCCCTTTTGAATAAACCTTCCTCCCAAACAAATCAAGGCGTTTAGCGTCTCTTGATTTGGGCACGGGCCACTGCTGACTCTGCCTCTCTTTTTCGTTCACCGCCTACACAACAAGGGAGCATGGAGGGAGGTGGGTGAAAAAATATTCGTACCCTTTAGTGGGAACAAAGTACTTTCGTTCGACCCCTTTGGCCGTAGGGGGAATGGAGGCAGGCATTTGCCAAATAGTCTTGGCGTTAGACTGGATAGTCTTTAGCACAGGTAAGGCCACCCAAGAGGGACCCTCTGGTGCCAGGATGTCCACCACAGGGTCCTCGTCCTCTACCACCTCCTCCACCTGGAGGTTCATATTTAGGGCCACCCTTTGGAGGAGTTCCTGCCGTGCCCTGTAGTCCATGGGTGGTGGACCGGATGTGGAGGTACCTGCCACCGCCTCATCAGGAGATGACGAGGAAGAAGCCACCGGTAGGACCGGTTCCGTGGCGGCCTCCTGATCCTCTGGGACCGGTTTCTCCCGAACCCTGGTGTAGCCTCCACCGGGGGTGGGGTTGGATCCAGGTTCTGCGATGGATCCTGAGGTGGGCAGCTGATGGTTGCCTCAGGGAGGCAAGACTCCGAACAGGATGGTGGGGGAACGCTTGGGGGGGGCACTTTGGGCCTGATGGTACGTCTAAGGGGTCCAGAATTACCACTGGGTTGCCAGTGGGGCACTGAAGCGTCCTGTCTAAGACTTCCCGGCCCTGATCTGGGCGCTTCCGATGCCCCCGACGCTCTGCTTGACCTGAGGGAGGCCAACTTTGAGTGGGAAGGCCAAGGGGTGGCGGTGCGGTACTATCCCAAGGAAGCCTCCTCCTCGAATGGATGGAATGAGTGCCGTGGGGAATAACGAGGACCAAATAGTGACTGGTGGTGCTGCTGCGGGGAACGGCAGCGAGATGTGGAGCGGTGCCAGGAGGTCGATCGGTGCTACGAAGTGGGGCTTCATCTTGGTGGGGAGCGGTGCTGCGATTGAGGCCTGAGCTGAAGCGGGGACTGGTGTCCGGAGCGGGATCTGGAACGGTGCTGCAAATGGGAGCGGTGCCGCGACGTAGAGGGACAACTGGGAAGTGCAGTCCGAGGTTGATGCGAGCGGTGCCGCAAGATCACAGATTGGGATCTGGACCTCGAGCAGGACCACGACCTCTCAGCCGATGACCACCTCGAGCGGGAATGGCTCTGAGGGTCGGAGCTGCGAGACCAGTGCCGCAAGTCAGACTGGCGTGGGGCATAAGTGCGGCGCCGGGACTCAGAACGGCGCAGAGATCCTGGTTGGGGGGCAGACGGCCCGCACATAGCCGGTTTGCCTCTTGACAGTGCCGGGCTTTGGGGTAGCGGAGGCCTTGAGACTGGGGACTTGGGTGCCGTCATTTCGATAAGCCCCTAGTGGCCTCAAAAATGTCCAGTGTGGAGGGTAGCATGACCTCCTCCACCTGCAGCCGCGGGGAGTCCAGGAGCGCGGGGCTTCCTGGGGAGACAGGGGCCCATGAAGGTTGAACCTGACCGTAGGCCCATACTCTGCACCATGCCCTGCCAAGGCTGCAGTTTCCATGTCAGGCCGTTGTGGAGGATTGTCCTTAGCCTACTTTTTGTGGGCAGCCGATGAGTGGGAGTGGTGCCAAGGGGAACGTTTCTGTGCCCCGGGACACTGCCGGCCCCTGGGAGGGCATGCTGAGTCCTTTTTCGGTGCTGTGGACAGCACCGACGGAGGAACGCTCCACACCAAGACGCTCGGGGCCGGGTCCTGCTGCGGATGGAAGGCAGACTCCATGAGGAGTTGTTTTAAAACAAATGTCCCTCTCCTTTCTAGTGCGAGAGTTGACGGCCTTGCAGATCTTGCACATGTCCGCCTGATGGGCTTCTCCCAGACATTGGAAACAGGAGTCGTGGGGGTCGCCCACGGGCATAGGTTTGGCACAGGAGCTACAGGGTTTGAAGTCCTGGGATGCATGCCACAGAGCCCGGCGAGGCCCTCGTTGAAGGGGAAAAAAACCCCCCAACCACTAAAGACTACAATTAACAACTAGAAGAGAACAATTAACTAACAATGGGTAACTATATATAAAGATAAGCAGAAAAGCTAGGGATTAGTGGAGCACTTGCGAGCAAGAGACCACTGTTCCAACAACCGTCACTGGCGGTAAGAAGGAACTGAAGGGGTGTCGGGCTGGCAGGGTCGTATATAGAGCGCTATATTGGTGTCACTCCAGGGGGCTCCACAGCCGGCCTGACGGGTAGCTGCTAGAGAAAAGTTTCTGACAGCAGTGCACACGGCTTGCGCACACAACTAACTGGAATTGATATGAGCAAGCACTCGAAGAACAGATTGACAGAGCCAGAAGGGTACCCAGAAGTCACCTACTACAGGACAGGCTGAAGAAAGAAAGTAACAGAACGCCACTAGCCGTCACCTACAGCGCCCAACTAAAACCTCTCCAGCGCATCATCAAGGATTTTCAACCTATCCTGAAGGATGATCCCTCACTCTCACAGACATTGGGAGACAGGCCAGTCCTCGCTTACAGACAGCCCCCCAATCTCAAGCAAATACTCAAAAGCAACTACACACCACACAATGAAACACTAACCCAGGAACCAATCCCTGCAACAAACCCTGCTGCCAACTCTGTCCGCATATCTACTCAAGGGACACCATCATAGGATCTAACCACATCAGCCACACCATCAGGGGCTCATTCACCTGCATATCTACCAATGTGATATATACCATAACGTGCCAGCAATGCCCCTCTGCCATGCACACTGGCCAAACCGGACAGTCTCTACGCAAAAGAATAAATGGACATAAATCAGACATCAAGAATTGTAACATTCAAAAACCAGTGGGAAAGCACTTCAATCTCCCTGGACACTCAATAACAGACTTTAAAATGGCAATTCTTCAACCAAAAAAATTCAAAAACAGATTCCAACAAGAAACTGCAGAACTGGAATTAATTTGCAAACTTGACACCATCAAATTAAGCCTGGGAGTGGATGGGTCACTACAAAAAATAATTTCCCCTCTCTTGATACTCACACCTTTTTGAAAACGGTTGGGAATGGGCAACGTCCCCCTTGATTGCATTGGCCTCGTTAGCACTACAAAAGTAACTTTCCTTCTGTTGATATTCATCCCTTTTTGTCAACTGTTGAGAATAGGCCACTTCCACCTTAACTGAATTGGCCTCGATTGGATTACCACTTGGTAAGGCAACTCCCATCTTTTCATGTTCTGTAATATATATACTGCTTACTGTATTTTTCACTCCATGAATCTGATGAAGTGGGTTTTAGCCCACGAAAGTTATGCCCAAATAAATTTGTTAGTTAGTCTCTAAGGTGCCACAAGGACTCTTCGTGTTAGTCTGTATCAGCAAAAACAACAGCTACCACTCTGAAACCTGTAGGCACATTAGAACTAGACAATTTTTGTTCTTTCAGACTAGGAATCACTTAAGTGACACTTACTTGAGACTCTCCTGTGAACTTGAAGATGACCTATCTGACTGAGGGAGAGATGCTATACTGCCAGAATTCTTCAAGTAAGTCTGGAGACTTCTTTGATAGGATGGCTCAAGGTTATTGTACAGGGCCTCTGCTTCTCCAGGAAAGTGACTTCTAAGACCCAGGTAAGTCCTACAAAACAAAAGAACAGCCAGGTAGAACTGCTACAGGGTTTTTTGTTTGTTTTTTGTTTTTTAAACTACACAGAAAAAATGAAAATCCAGCTGTGACACAGGCTAGAAAGGGTTACACAACTAGCATGCTAATTGACCCAAATTCAACGTTTATAAAAGTGTTAAAAAAGTATGTAAATGGTAGTTAGGGCCATTTCATGTTAAGATAGACGAGAGCTTTGAAATGAAAACTTGTATTGTTAGAGAATTAGAGGTAATGGTAATTGAATGTGTTTACTTATATCTGGTTAATGTTAACCATGTAAACAGTTTCTATTGATTCAGAGATCAAAAGGGAGTATTAACATTTAGATGAAACTTGGGTATGATAACATCACTGTCTATATTTCACTTTGAAGTTAGTAGTAAACTGTCTATTGCTTAATGAATAATTACTTAATTGCTTAATGAATCATTACCTTATACTAATCATTGTAGCTAACTACCAGTGATGCTTAGGAAAGAGAAGGTTACTTCAAAAGACTATTGTTCACACAAGAGGCTGCAAAAAATCTCTATAAAAACGCTTGGGACCTGATCCTTTCATCTCAAATCTGCTTATGCTTCATCAGGGGAAGCTTGGACCACAAGACTGAGATCTCCAGTGCCATCTGGATCACCCCGATATTGAACATTGGACTGAACCTATGGACTAATTCTAAAAGAACTCTGTACAACTCGAAAGCTCACCATCTCCACTATGAAATTGACCTAAGATCAACATTCATGTCTGTATGTATAATGATCTTTTAAACCAATATTCTCCCTCTTTTCTTTGTAAATTTTAATTTAGTTAATAAGAATTGGCTATAAGCATGTATTTGTGTAAGATCTGAAATATTCATTAACTTGGTGGGTAATGTGTCCGATCCTTTGGGACTGGTAGAACTTTTCATATGATGAACGAGATTGTCAATAAACCTCATCATATTTGACTTGGCTGTCTGGGTGGGAGCCCAAAGGCTGGGTTGCTTTTAGAGAACTGTGTTTTTTGGCTTCTGGGTAACCAGTAATGTATTGTAGAAGCTGTTTTGTTGTTGGCTTGGTAAATCTAAGTATCAGAATAACCACCAGTTTTGGGGATTGTCTGCCCCATTCTTTGCAGTTTGCCCTAATTGAGCAATCTCAGCATGGCTCCCAGTTGCACCAGCACTGAAATATGTGCTGAATGCTTCTCCACTAGCCAGGTTATGAAGGCATCTAGCACAAAAGTCTGAACTAATCTTTCCAAAATAACTTTATTCCTCCCATCACATTCTCTGTGATATATCTTTTGATATTTCCTGCTCACTGAAGATACCCCAGAATATACCATCAAATATTAGTAGCCAATAGTATCTGTGATGTCACAGAATGATCCATTCTAAGAAACTTTCAGTGAACCAGCACAATATAAAGGGTATTTCTCAAAAGGGAATTTTTTAAAAAAGTTAGTTAAGATTTATGGTGATTTAATTTTGCTTCAAAATTTGCCTCTGAATTCAATTATTATTTTGGAAAACAGAAGGTGCTTGAGAAATAACATTGAGAAATACTAGATATTGATTCTGCATTTTAAACAGATGTACTTTTTCATGTAATTCAGAATTCACTGCACATTACACAAATGTAAAAGACTGGCCTGGTGGCATAGCAGTAGTGGTCTGCCTTAATGGTCTACAGCCAAACTAAAGCAGCCAAAGAGGAGTGAATTTAGCCCTCCCCAGTTCCATTTATCACAATCAGGTGAGGATTTCAAATCCTAACTGAGACCATTTGAATGCTAACAATAAGTACTGGCAGTTTTATTTTCATTGCTAGGCAGAGTGGTACAGTGGAGAGGCTACAGGACTGGGACTCAGGAGACCTGGGTTCTATTCCTGGCTCTGCCACTGACCTGTTGGGCAAGTCACTTCACCTCTCTGTGCCTCTATCAGGCAAATGGAGCTCATCCATGAGCGCAGACAGTTCACCTAGGAGAAGAAAAACTCTGATTTCAAACCAAATGTTCTGTCAGGCCTGGCCAGCTAGTTTGTGAAAATTGTGCCAATCACACATGCTCTATGAGACTGTACCACCACTGTCTGACAGGCAATGTGGTAGTATTGTCTTCCCTGCTCTGTGTTCTTTAAATGAAAGCAGGGAAATTAAATGCCACAAAGCTACGCTGATGCACGTTATGTTCACAGATTTAATCTACCAAAAAGAAAAATGTATGGTTCTTTAAGAAACTCTCACATTGCACACACCGTACATTTTTTTTGTTTATATTTAACAGTAACTAGAAATTAAAAATGTGTGCTAAGTAGGGTGACCAGACAGCAAGTGTGAAAAATCGGGACGGGGGTAGGGAGATAATAGGAGCCTATATAAGAAAAAGCCCCAAATATTGGGACTGTCCCTATAAAATCGGGACATCTGGTCATCCTAGTGCTATGTGAGGTAGTGCTGCAATAAGAATTTTAACGTTTTCACTTACTAAACTTTGAGCATTTAAATCTATAAACTTAGTATCTGATGAAGGGTTTTTTTATGCATTTTGTTTTAATGGATTTGAATGAGATTATGAAAAGAGCAGGGATTGAACACTAGCTTTATCCATTAATTTTCAGTTTTATTTCCTATATTTGTGTTTTATTCTTGTGTAACTGTATGTCTCCATGTGTGACAGGAAGTGAATCTCCTACAAAAAAAGAATCTTTTGTAACAGAAAATAATAAGCATTATTGTCACAAAGAAGGGCAGATTCCAAGTTAAAACCTTGCATGAAAAAGGCACCAATTTTAAATGGTCATTTTCATGCTACTTATATGCTTCCTTATTATATTTCAAAGGACTGTTAATTACCTTTATTGACAAAATATAGATAAGTATAATTTATTTTATTTTGTTGTCCCTGCAGAAAACAAGCATAGGAGGATGAGCAGAATTATCGTCTGTCTTAACAAATGAACTGTTAGTTGTTCAATGATGTTTTGTACTCATGGAAGTAAGACTGATTAGGCAGAAATACTGATCTACAATACTTCCATTTTACTGAAGTCATCAGATTTTCCAAAACAAAAACCAGTAACTCTTCTAAGCTTTACTAAATTAGGTAGGGCGTTTTGCATAGAAAAAAATGTTCATTTTAGGATTATATTAAATGATCAATTTTAACCATATTCTTCAGTGATTAACAGTTAAATACCTTAAGCATACAGTAACTCCTCACTTAACATTGTAGTATTATGTTCCTGAAAAATGCAACTAAGTGAAACGATGTTAAACGAATCCAATTTTCCCATAAGATTTAATGTAAATGTGGGGGGTAGGTTCCAAGGAAATTTTTTGGGGCAGACAAAAGGCATTATATACTGTACAGTACTGTACTGTGGTTGGGAAGTGCCTCTGGCTTACCTCACACAAGCACAGCGTGCTACAGGCAAGGATACTAGGAAGCACCTTCACAGCAGCAGCTTCCCCGGAGCAGAACAGGACACTGACTTTGCCAGGGGATGCTCCAGGCCTGCCTGTTCCCATCCTCCTCCACTCCAGGCCCACCTCTTCCCACCCCCACTCCACCTCCTCTCCGGAGCACGCCGCATCCCCGCTCTCCCCCCAGGAAAGTCCTAGGACTTAAGTGCTTAGGACTTTCTGGGAGGGAGGGGCAAGGGCGGAGATGCGGCGCTTCCCCGCTTCTCCCCCTCCCTCCCAGTGCTTTGGACTTTCTGGGAGGGAGGTGGAGAAGCGGAGATGCAGCCCCTTCCCCGCTCCTCCCCTTCCCTCCCAGAAAGTCCTAAGCGATGGGAGGGGGAGGGGAAGGAGGCGGAGAAGAGGAACTTGTGCAATGCTCCCTTGTAAAGTTGCTGTTCTTCACAGAATCTTACAAGCAGTGGACAGAGCAGGCAGCCAAACGACGTTATAAGGGAGCATTGCACAACTTTAAACAAGCATGGTCCCTAATTGAGCAGCGACGTAACTTTGAAACAACATTAAGCAGGAGGACGTTAAGTGAGGAGTTACTCAATATATAGACTTCCCTTCCCTTGGTATAAAATGTCAAATCTTTCAATCAAAGTTACAAGTTCACTCAAAACTTACTTTCTTGCCTCCACTCTTGCCTCAGCATCAGCATCGTGAATGCCCTTTTTGATGGTTTCAACCAAGACAGTTGCATGCCTAGAAGACAATACCTCATATTAGTTTTTAATTTTACAAATTTAATTATACCAAGGTAATTTCTTACCTGTTAATTAAGTTTCTCTAAGTCATACAGAGTACATCTACACTGCAATTAAAAACCCGCGGCACCAAGTTTCGGAGCTGGGTCAAATGACTTAGGCTCAAGGGGTTCAAGCTGTAGGGCTAAAGATTGCAGTATAGACATTCAGGCTCGGGCTAGAGCCTGAGCTCTGAGACCCGCCCCTCTCGTGGGGGCTCAGAGCCCAGGCTCCAGCCTAAGCCCAAATATCTACACTGCAATTTTTAGCCCCATAGCATGAGACAACTGACCTGAGCCAGCTGCAGCTGTGCCATGGGTCTTCTATTGTACTGTAGACCTACCCACAGTGATCCTGATATTGGGTCTGGACCTTCCTTCTAGCAGATGCAAGTCAGGAAAGGGATCAGAGCCATAATGACATAACTATCCCTTTTTAAGATGCTTAGGCAGGCTGTCAGGCCCCAGCTATTCCTGGTTCGGAAGATGGAATCTGTGCCTGCATGCTTACTTGGGCCCATTGTTAAGACAGGCATGCTAGAAAGTACCTTTCAATTTTAAGGAGATGCATGTATAGTAAAGAAGTCAATATACTGATCAGTGATAGAAAATAGGCTTATCTTGAATAAGTACAAAGATAAAGTGTCTCCCCACTGTATTCCTTAAAAATTAGTTTTTGAATGATCAGTCTTTTGAAATCAATCAATCAATTAGTGCAGAATAAAAATAGCATACTACTGGATTGATAGAGAGGAGGCTACTCACCCAGTGTAGTAACTGACATTCTTTGAGATGAGTGTCCCTGTGGGTGCTCCACTCCAGGTGTTGGTGCGTCCCTGAGCCTTCGCTCGGAGATTTTAACAGCAGTACTCATACCGGTCACGCAAGCGCACAGCCTGTCCCCCCCCCACACTGAGTGTACCTTAATAGTAAACATGCGCGACCGGTCTCCTCAGTTCCTTCTCTACAACCCCAACTCCGAAATAGAGGGGAGGAAGGTAGTGGAACACCCACAGGGACACTCATCTTGAAGAACATCAGTTACTGCATAGGGTGAGTAACCTCCTCCTCTTCTTCTTCTTCTTCGAGAGATGTCCCTGTGGGTGCTCCACTGCAGGTGATTGAAAAGCAGTGTATTTCAAGGAGGTAGGGACTTTGGATGTGGTAGGAATGCAGTAGGTAATACAGCTCTGCCTAATCGTGTTATCAGAGAGAGGTCCTTGAGTAAGGGCATAGTGCTTAACAAATGTGTGTTCAGAAGACCAAGTGGCCGCTTTGCAGATGTCAGCCAGGGAAACTTTGCGTAGAAAAGCCATGGAGGTAGCCACAGATCTAGTGGAGTGAGTTCTGATGCCGGCTAGAGGCATCACTTTCTTTATCTGATAGCACAGTCGGATACACTCAGAAATCCAGTTTGAAAGTCTCTGGGTAGAAATAGGTGTGCCTTTGGAACGCTCTGCGATGGAGACGAAGAGTTCCTAAAGGGCTTGGTTCTATCCAAATAGAAGGACAAAGCCCTGCGTACGTCTAACGTAGGCATGGTAGATTCAAAAGAGTTTGCATGTGGTTTAGGAAATAAAGTCGGTAGGTGCATCGGCTCATTGCTGTGGAACGACGAATGCACCTTTGAAAGGAATTTGGGATGTAATCGGAGGGGGGTTACCTTGTCCTTAACAAATAGTGTATAATGTGGGTCTGCCATGAGAGCTGCTATTTCTCTCCTGCCCGTCTGGTGGAGGGGATTGCCACTAGGAATGCTGTTTTCATAGAGAGGTGTAGGAGGAAGCAAGTGGCATGGGGCTCGAATGGTTGTTGAGTTAAGCAGGATAAAACTAACTGAAGGTCACACGGAGGAGTAGGAGATTTAATGTCCGGGTATAGGGATTGGAGCCCTTTGAGAAAACGCTTGGTGACTGGATGAGCAAAAACAGACGGATCGTCGATCTTGTCATGAAAAGTTGTAATAGCAGCTAAGTGGACTTTGATGGAGCTGAAAGAAAGGCCCGATTGCTTGAGGTCTAATAGGTAGTCAAGTATGATTGGGAGAGGTGCAGAAGTAGGAAGAAGTTGTTTAGGTGAGCACCAGTGTGTGAATCGCTTCCACTTAAGGAGATAGGTGATGCGAGTAGATTGTGTTCTGCTATGTAGGAGCATTCTTTGAACCTGCTCAGAGTATGCTAGTTCATTTTGGGAGAACCCTGTAGGTACCAAGCTTTGAGGTGAAGCATGGACAGGTTGGGGTGAAGAAATCAGCCGTGTTGCTGCGATAGAAGGTTTGGAGTGAGGGGCAACGAGATTAGTGGGCGGATTGATATTCTGGTGAGGAACGGAAACCATGGTTGTCTGAGCCATGATGGGGCAATCAGAACTACCGTGGCACGAACTGTCTGTATCTTTGTTAGAACTCTGTGGAGAACCAGTATCGGAGAAAAAGCATATAGCAAGTCCTGGTGCCATGGAATCATGAACGCATCTCCCAGGGAATGTTTGCCCAGTCCCGCTCGGGAGCAAAATTCGAGACATTTCGTGTTTTTCACAATTGCGAAAAGGTCTATGGTTGAGTAGCCCCACATGTGGAATATGTTGTGGATGATTGTCTCGTTTATCTCCCGTTCACGATCCCAGGGAAAGCGTCTGCTTAATTCATCCACTGTGGTATTCATAGCTCCAGGAAGATAGGCGGCTGATATCCGAATGTTGTTCGCAAGGCACCAATTCCAGAGCTTCATGCCTTCTGTGCAAAGCGAGTGTGAGCGAGCCCCACCCTGCCTGTTTACATAAAACCTGCAGGCGATGTTGTCTGTCATTATCCATACATGTTGGTTCTGGATTAATGGGAGGAAGTGACAGCAGGCGTTGCGCATGGCTCGAAGTTCTAGGACATTTATGTGCAGGGAGGTTTCGGCTTAAGACCATAGCCCCTGGGCTGTGTGGTGGGACATGTGTGCACCCCACCCTGTGCGGGATGCATCGGTAGTCATTATGAGGGATGGAGCATCCTGGAGAAAGGGGACTCCAGAGCAGAGGTTGGAGGGAGCTGTCCATCATAGGAGAGAGTCTTTGACTCTGAAAGGTATGGATAGAGGCTTTTTTAGAGCGTGCACATTCGGTCTGTAAACCATGGCCAACCAAGCTTGGAAGCACCTCATGTATAGTCGTGCATTTTGGACCACGAAAGTACACGAGGTCATGTGACCTGGTAGTTGTAGACTGTCTCGAGCAGTGACCTGAGGACTGTTGCAGAGTTTCGTTGCCAATAATTTTATGGTGTTGAAGCAATCAGGCGGGAGAGATGCTATTCCCGTCCGGGAATCGAGGTGTGCTCCTATCAACTCCAGGTGCTGGGTAGGAGATAATGTGGATTTGTTTTTATTTGTAGGCCGAGGGATAGGAAACAATCGACAGTGAGCTGCGTGAATCGAAGCGCTTCATCGAGCGTTGAGGCTCTGAGGAGATAATCATTGAGGTAAGGAATTATGATAACTCCTTGTTTCCTGAGCTAGGCAGTGACTATGTCTAGGAGCTTGGAAAAAACACAGGGGGCGGTGGATAGGCTGAAGGGTAGCACCCTGTATTGAAAATGTGTCGAGCCGAGGGTAAAACGAAGGAAACGTCTGTGTGCCGGATGTATAGTCACATGAAAATAGGCGTCCTGTAGGTCGAGGGCTGAAAACCAATCGCCCTGCTCCAGCACTGGGATTAACGTGGTGAGGGTAACCATTTTGAACTTTTGCTTTTTGATAAATTTGTTGAGCCGCCTGAGGTCGAGGATAGGTCGCCATCCCCCGGTTTTCTTTTCTGTTAAGAAATAATGGGAATAAACCCCCTTCCCTCTGTGTCGTTCAGGCACAAGTTCCACTGCTCCCAATAGAAGATGTTGTACTTCTTGGATGAGCAGTTGCTCGTGAGGGGGTCCCTGAAGAGGAACGGGGAGGGTGGGTGAGTAGGAGGCAAGGATAGGAAAGGGATCGAATAGCCAATTGTGACAACCACTGTAACCCACTTGTCGGTGGTAATGTTCTGCCATTGATGGGAGAATGGTTGTAGGCGGTGTCCAAAAATAGGGACATGTGGTGTAAGCGCTGAAGTGGAAACATTGTTTTCTAAACCCTCGACCAAGGCTTCAAATCTGCTCATTAATCGGAGGGGGTTGAGACGCTGCCGAGGAATTGGGACAGTGACACTGGTATCTGGGTCTCTGGCATTGCTGCTGTTGTCGTTGCTCATGTGATCTATGGAATTGCTGGGTATATGCGGGATAGCGTGGACGCTGGTAGGGTTGATATCGATACTGTCGCCTTCTGATCGTAGGGGTTTGAATTCATAGAGACCGGAGAGTTGTCCTTGAGTCTCTCATTGAATGAAGTACGTCGTTCGTCGTGAAGGCAAAGAGTTTGTCGACGAAGGGAAGATCTTCAGTGGTATTCTGGACCTCTCAAGGAAAGGAAGAGGAGGAAAGCCATGAACCTCAGCGCATGACCACTACTGTAGCAGTGGATCTTGCTGCAGTGTTGGCTGCATCGAGGGCCGCTTGAAAAGCGGTATGTGAGATGATTTGTCCCTCGGAAACTAGAGCTGTGAATTGTTGTTTTTTTTCTTCCGGAATGTCATCAATAAAGTCCATGAATTTGTTGTAATTTTTGTGGTCATATTTTGCCAGAACAGCAGTATAATTAGCAATGCGAAACTGTAACGTGGAAGATGCGTATACTTTACGTCCGAGCAGATCTAGTCACTTACTGTCCTTGTTGGATGGGGTGGAGCGGGGAAACTGGTGTTTGGTCTTTTGGTAACTGCGTCTACCACCAGCGAGTTTGGCACTGGATGAGCGAAAAGGAATTCAGAGCCCTTGGAAGGGATGAAGTACTTGCGGTCCGCTTGTTTACAGGTAGGTAGGCTTGCAGCAGGACTCTGCCAGATGGTCTTAGCAGGTTCCAAAAGGGCTGCGTTGATCGGTAATGCAATCCTAGAAGAAGAAGAGGGCTGAAGGATGTCCATTAACTCATGCTACTGTTCAGGTACCTCCTCCAAGTTAATTCTTAACTCTCTGGCAACTCTTTTGAAAAGGTCTTGAAGTATTGAGAAATCATCCGAAGATGTGGGGGAAGGAGGAAGTAAGGCTTCATCAAGCGTAACAACTGGGTCTACTGGGTTTGAGGCAGGTTGTGACTGATCCTGCAGTTGTGATGGTGCTGCCTGGTGCCTTATGTCAGTGTCAGGTTCGTCAGCTGACGGTGCCGGACAGGTGTCGCGCCTGGTTGAGGTGGCATAGCGAGTGTGGTCTCGAGGATAAGATGCCCCTGGTGCCCAATATTGCCACTGTGGAGGGAAGGGCATAGGTGGTGCCATCCAGTGGTTTACACACCATGGGGCAGGACCCTGAGAGTAGGACGAGGTAATTTTTCTGACCTCTATTGATTGGGGTCTGAGGATGGGAGATTTGCTATGGTGAAAATTCCCCCTGCAGTCCACCTTCCTCATCATGGAGGAAGGCTGTCCGGACCCTGACTGAGCATTTGGAGAGAAGTAGGCATTGAGTAGGGGTGACTGCAGGACAGGAGATACCAGCAGGTCCCTAGACTCTGTAAATTGCAGTGTTGGAGCTCCTCTGTGAGGGGAGGGCTGTGCAAGAGGAATGTGCTGTGAAGAAAAATCCCTCTGCACCGGTGTCCTAAGCATTGTTTCACTGCCGGCCAGCTTAGCGGGTCTCGGTGCCGGGAAAGCAACAACAGCCTGCGGGGGGTCAGGCACGTCAGCATGTGTCGGCACGGCTTCCGTCGCGGTGCCGAACGGTGCCATATGAGAGGCAGGCAAGTGGAAGCCTGAAGCCTCGGCACCGGAGCTTGGTGGTATCGCCGCAGCCGGGTTTCACACGGTGCCGGAGGAGCCCAGGGCGTCAAAAATGCTCAGCCGGGGAAGTGCTGGGAGGGAGGCTGTAGACCTGCCTGAGGAAGTCTTCTCCCGCAAAGTTCCCTTTGCAGGTGAGAGAAGGTGCCCTTTTTTTGCAGTTTTCTTGTCTCTCTTTGAGGCAGGGGGCTGTGGCGTGCAGTGGATCCAGAGTCAGCGCCCGGGTCTGAAGCTGACCCTAATGAATTTTGAAGGAGGAGCAGTTTTAGTCTCAGCTCCCTGTCCTACTGTGCCCTAGATTTAAGTTAGCTGCAGTGGGCACATTTTTGGGGGATGTGGGACTCCCCCAAACATTTTATGCACTTTGCATGGCCTTCTGACAGAGGGATGGCATCTTTGCAGGCAGAGCAGCGCTTAAAGCCTGGGGAGCCAAGCATGTCGGAAGCGGCTGCCACTGACAGGAACAAAGAAAAAGGTTTTATTTATTTGTTTATTTATTTTAGGAGAGAAAAGGATAGAAAAATGGTAACTAAGTACTACTGGTAACAAACTAACTAACTAGAAAGGTAATTGTAACAAAGGGAGAGAAAGTCTCTAACGAGTCTGCTGAGCTTCATCTTAGGCCGGGGACGGTAGAGAAGGAACTGAGGAGACTGGTCGCACAGGCGTACTATTAAGGTACTCTCAGAGCCGGGGGGCAGGCTCTGCGAGTGCGTGACTGGTATGAGTACTGCTGTTAAAATCTCCAAGTGAAGACGCGGGGACGCACCAACACCTGGAGTGGAGCCCCAACAGGGACATCTCTTGAAGAAGAATGATTATTTACTCAAAAATACTGTACTAGTAGTTGAAAGCAAAGAATTCTCATTACTTATAAAATATCACCACAGTATTAGGAAAGGATGATCTTGTATTTAAGTTACTGGACAAGGATTTAGGAGGTTAGGTTCAATTCCCAGCTCTGCTACAGACTTCCTATGTGACCGTAGGCAAATCATTTAATCGCTCTATACCTCAGCTCCCCATCTGTGAAAAATACTACTTTTCCTACCTCACCAGAGTGTTAATGAGGTTAAATACATTTAAGTCTGTGAGATGCTCAGCTATTACTGTGATTATGGCCAATAAGTACCTAGAGTAATATGTTTTATTTACATCCTTTTCAGACTGGATTTAAAATGCACTGAATATTGTCAGCCAGCATAATACCTATCAAATACTGTTGCAGCAAAATACTGATTTTGTCTTTTCTTAGGGAAAAGAGATATATTTTTACCTCTCTGATTTAACATGCTAGCAATACATAGTATATTATGGATCACTGAGTAATGTGTAAAATATTTTCCAGGTCATTTTACTGTAGACTAATTTAAGCCACTGTGGGTAACATACTTCTCCTTAGAAAAAATATTCAGTCACAGTATTTCCAACATCATGATCCTATTTTGCACTCTGGACAAAAAAGTTATGTACCTTTATTGGGAGAGAAGACAGAACAAATCTTTTCCCACCTTTCAGATAGTTTCATATTGCATCTATGCAGCCAAACACACAGATTGTACAATACTACCAATCTAGAAAGTATTACTGGTAATAACAAGAATTTTGTAGTATTTCCTTTTCTTTCTAATGTTAGGATTAAAATTCCAGACACACTGTATCATCAGAACCTAATTTGTAATAATTATTTATTGAAGGAATAGTAATAATGTTTTAAAAAGACTGCAGGTCCTTCTTGCATACCCCCCCACAAAAAATGTAACTAACATCTCAACTACCAAACTACAATTAAAATCACTAGAACACTTATTAATACAAACACTAATGGAAGTCCTGAGTTTTCAGAATACATGTAGGAAAGGCTACCAAAAAAAAAAAAAAACCACGGGCTGAGGGCAACAGAAGCCCTGACCACAAAAAAGGAGGGAACACCCCTCACCCCAAGCACACGTTTGGGCTATAAAATAAATGAAAAGCTAACAAAAAGAAATACTTCATAAAAATAATAAACAAGCTGTGTAGCTAGCTAGCAGATACCACAACACTGGCTCAAGCTGCAAGCAGCTGAGGAGGACCACCACTCCCTATATATTCTTGTAATGGAGCACACAGATGAGCAGGTCAAAGGCATGGTCCTGAGGGCATGCTTACAAAAAGTTTGATGTAAAGTGCATGGAAGTGCACACATGAGACATAGAACACCTGTAGGGACAATAACTTGAAGAAAAATATCTGTTTTCTCTTCAAAATACAGTTGTTTTACTGGAGCATAAAATTATTTTTTCATCACATTAATGCTAAGAGAAACAAAACAAAATTTAAGCAAACCTTTTAATTTCAGCTAAGTATTTATATACCAGTTCTAAATCCCAAGGTAAGTTTAAACAGCAGCAATAAAACACTGATAGGACAATTCATAAGAGCAAATAGTATAGTTATACAGAGTAAAAGTCTATTTCACAAATTACTTAAGTGGTCTAGTTGTAGGATTTAAATGAAGGATTTTATTTTTTTTTAAATTAACTGAAAACTTTTCTAGATGACAAAAAGGAACCCACTGCTCCTACCTTTCCAGTGAATGAGTCTGCCACTCCTGCAGTAACAGGTCTAAAAATTCAAAGGAGCGTCTAAAACAAAATAGGAAAAAAATGTTAAAAACCTGCAATTCTCTACTTTCCTGAAATAATAGGTGATAACTTTGTTCTTTTTCCTCCTGGAAAATAATAACTGCATATAATAAAATATCTCACACTTAACACACTAGGAAATTGTTTGGCTTCTTCTGTTGTAATGGTGGAAAAATTTTTTACTTTGCACATTGTTTATATTTTTCCACTTACATGCAATCACACTGCATTTTAAAAAAGCAGAAATGGTTCATATGACCACTTGACGTTCAACAAGTGTTACTACAAATACAAGCGCTTTAACATGTTTAGCACAAAAGGCCCACCAGCTAAGTCAAGTGGCAATTCCCCAGTGAGAAAATCAACCACACCAAACCTGTTAAGGAGGAGGTTGGTGGGTTTTCGACAAGACAGCAAGTCCTGTTCCTTGCTTGGGAGAATCATCTTTTGTAACCCCCTGTAGCTAGCTGGTGTCTTATAAATGTAGAAGTCCAATCACCAAGGCGCTGGAAGATGCAAGGAACTTTCCATCTTTTTGTCCCCCTGCAGAACCTTCTGACGGCTTCAAGTGGAGGAAGGTCTCTGCTACTCTATCCCTCCCCTGCTCCATAGAAGGGCAGATCTCACTATCCACTCAAGCCCTTCAGGGAGCTGTAAGAGTGGGAGGCAAAAATCTATAATGCTTCTGAGCTGCCCCATCCCCATGAATAACCTCTGTGTCTGCCTCTGCTGCTGTTCATAGATTTACAAAGTAGGGGCATTAGCATAAAAATGACATAAATTGAATACATTCACTGTTGCTCAGTGGGTTCTGAACTGCAGCAGCAAAACTGACCAGACTAATGTTAATTTCAGTCTATTACTTCTTAGGAAACCTGTGGCAGCAGAAGCACTAGAGCTCTGCAGACTTGGGAAAACACTTCATTTATTTACATTTAGGTTCCATTTGGAAGGTTACCTTTTGCAGTGAAATAAGCTTGAAACTTAAAAAAATAAAAAAATTAAAATCAAAAGCTTCAATTCTGCAGAAATTGATAGCTGAGGCCCCCTCACATATTTGCTAGGGAAAGTTTTTCCACTCATTACCAGCACGTGGACGCTTACTTTGTTGAATCTCAATTATCTGTAGTGCATGGTAGCTTATTAGATAAGAGATTTTCACATTATATTACAGTGACTGCAATAAAAACATACTATTTTGAAGATAATTTTGCTAGTAGTCTATTATAAAATTAAGGAATATAAACTAACAATTTTAATAATTTGTTATTTATCAAATACTCACCTCCTGACAGCAACTGATTTTGAAGTACAGTTGCTTGTTATTAAAGGTATTAGTCTGGGCACATGGGTATGCTGAAAAAAATCCATAAATATTATAACACAATGAAGCCAATGCCAAAAACATTCCTGAAATCAGAGTGCTAAATTTCAAATGAACGTAGTTAATAATTTTTCAGCAACAGATAAAATATTAATGATTAAATATAGGATTTTAAATGTTAATTGTTTAATCCAAATTTAGAATGTGTGTAAAAGTACACTTCCCTAACTAGGCCATGAACATATGTAAAATTAAGATATAAAAATATCTAAGGAAAAACATTTCTGACCATACCCCAATTTTCTCATTTATGTAACATTTAGCCACCAAAAAAACCCTTTGAAGGCTCAAATGTACCATATCTGTTTCCACACAGAAAATCTAAATTGATGTTGCTTCCATACAATTTCAGATGTTATTCTAATCAACACCTGAGCATAAAAAGTAAACCATTATAAATAATATAAAGACTGCATGGCCTTTTTTAAACTGTATTATTAGCAACCCATTCAGTGCATGGTATTTTTTCCCATAGCTTGTGAATGTGATACATGACCATGTCAACCTCTCATAACAGCAGGATTCTTCTCAGTTTTTAATGCACTGCCTACTCTCAACATTAAAAATAAATTAACATAGAAAATTCCAGAACAGCAACTGATTTGTTGTATTTTCACGTAACATTGACTTTTAAAAATTAATATCAATTCATTTGTACTGTTTTCATCAATGAATAAGGGCATTTGATCAACATATAAGGCATGTGGTAATGAGACTCTACTGGGGAAGGAACACGATGTTTCAAATAGAGGCAACAGCCTTATTTTACAATATTTGGTCTCTAGAGCTATTTACATCATGACACAGGCCTTTCAGAAAAATGCATCAAAGAGGAATTAGAAAAATGCACAAAATTATTTATGTAATCAAATATTTCTGAAAAATACGGAATATTGGCCTACGGCTTGCTTTAAATTGACTTTGAGATTGCATTAATAAGACAGCTTTAATGTTGTCTACAGATACATTTCTTTTTAACAGAATCCCACTTCAACAGCTTAAACACTGGAGCCAGTGCTCAACTGCATGAGCTAAGTCCCACCTCTCTGATGGTGGAAAGGATTCCTCACCCTGATGTCCACTCGTGTCATAATCTGCTTCTACTGGTTTTCAAAGGGAAAACAGACTACACTAAGCACTGCTAGGGCAAGGAACAGGAAACACAATGAAAGGGCAAACAAGACTGAAGGTGGGAGACTGAAGCTGCTGCAGAATAAGTGGGATCTCTGACTAACACCACAAGACACTAGTACCCCAGCATCTACACTGGCAGCCAGCTGGTTTTTAGGAGGAGTCTGAAGTGTTAGCTTTGACCTATAAAGTCCTAAATAGCCTGGGACCTGCCCCGACAGATCATCTCTGCCCTCCCAGTGCCCTACCGCTATGAATCATATCAGTCAAGTGCTTGACCCTTCGTGATTAGAGAGACAAGCCAGGGGGTAGTGTGCTTTCTGTGAGGGTCCTTCGGCTCATTTCCAGCATTTGGTACAAAAGAGCTCAAATTTGCTGACCTTCAAGGCACACTGCAAAAACCATCTGATTGATAAGGCTTAGGGGCACACTGGGATGGGAATTATTTGACTGTCAAATTTATTATCTGGTATGTTATCGTCTGTTATTCTTACGTGGACGAAAGTTTAAGCACTGTCAAACCTTTTTCCCCGTTAAATTGCAATAAGCAAATCATTGGTTGTATTCACTTTTTGTATCTTACTCCAACACCTGACTAGCCTGGTATACAGTTTGGCTTCTGTGAGAAACTAGAAATAGTTATTTTGGTGTGTACACACATCCCAACTCATGCCATTGTAACTGAAAAAACTACTCCCTCCTCCTCTCCTGACTGTGCAGTTAGACATCCCAGAACGCTCTGGAAGAAAAACACCTATGGCCCTTAGCACACACAGTTGTTACTTAGGTTCTAAGTGACAGCTGTCCAGGATGTCCCAGAATATGCTCTTAAAACATGGTTAGGAAGAGTACTAGGTGTGGATGCCATAAAAACACTTGCAACTAGTTAAGCTGACTGGATCTCTAACAATTTACAAAAACAACCCCAGATCCAGCTGTAGTGTGGATAAGGTCAGTGTAAAATAGTAATTACTACTTGTAAAGGCTAAAGAGGGTCAGAGCTTTTTATATATAAACTGCAGGCAGTCTGATTTTTTTTTTATTTAAATAAAATGGATGTTTTGATTACTAGCGAATCCAGAGTTTAAATCACTTTGCCGTTCCCTCAAGATAATGTTATTTCTTGGTATACGCTGAAATAGCCCAGCCTCACAAAACAGTCAGGAAAATGCACTTGCCCTTCACAATATCTCCTTGCCCACCCTTTACCATGATTGTGGTGATGGATGATGAATAATGACATTTTGTTCATCTGTCAAAAAAATTACTTGCCCAGGGCAAAACTTACAGGTCAGTCTTTAAAAACAATGACTATGTAAATATGGAATATATATTAAACTGGCAACAGATTTTTGTTAGGAGTGACTAGCTGAGTAGTTACTTTTTATCAAACAAACCCATAAAATACCATCAGAGGAATACCTACACGAATGACAAATCTGATTGCAGCACAGCCAGAAGTTGCCATAACTTTGGCGCTGTTAGGGACCAGATTAAAAAGAGTAGGCACAATGGCTTCAGCCCCATGGTCAAACTTGTTTCCCAAAACTGTTGAAAGATGACTGTTCAGGAAATGAAATAAAAGTAGTTAATAAAAATAATTTTATGGCCTCAAAATAAGTAATAGAAAGTTAATCACACATTTTAAAGACTCCTTTTTCCAAACAATGGCTATGATAGTACTTAATTTATGTTTTTCCATGTCTATATCTTCCTTATGAGAAAAGATTCACGGAATTCATGAATACTACACTGTTTACCTTGCAGACAACTTGAAAGTTTAAACATTAATAAGTAATTTTCTCTCTCAGACTTAGGCTTCCTTACAATTAAGATTACATGTAAAATATCACTTTTAAAAACCTGAAGTTAATGTGTGTACCGTTACTTAGGACCTACAGTGTTATTTTTGTTTCTTACCATACCATGACAGTATAAGCTTGGAAAACAGAACATTCATGTGGCTATTCTCAAGGACATCAAGCATTCATTGTAAATGCAATATATTAAAATTGAATTCTAAAAGTAATTTAACACAGCATTTATTCTAATGACATTAAGTGACATTTTGAGTTTTATATAATAATTTATCCTGCCATAGGCAAACTATAAAATGTGTCATAGTTACCCATGCATGAAATCTGCAGTCCCTCCCCATCTTATTTATTCAAGGGCTGTGGCCATAAGTTCAGAGTAGATGATGATTTCCATACTCATAGCAATTTAACTCTCCATTGCTCAGAGCAAAAGTTTCACCAGTGCAGAGCAAATGCAAGATGCGCTTGTAATCAGAAGCGAGTGACATGCTGAGTACCAAAGAGTTAAATAATGTCTTTTGTGAAGATGCATTTAAAAGGAAGAGTGCCTGTCTACTCTGTGGTAAAATATGGATTTTTTTTTTCTTAATTTGTTGAGGGAAAGCCCCCAACACCACAGAAAAAAATGTCTATTTCTGTTTGTGCATCTCTGAGAATACCATGAACATTAAATTAGGGCTGTCAAGCGATTAAAAAAATTTATCGTGATTAATCGCGCTGTTAAACAACAAAAGAATACTATTTATTTTAAATATTTTTGGATGTTTACTACGTTTTCAAATATGTTAATCTCAATTACAACACAGAATACAAAGTGTACAGTGCTCACTTTATATTTATTTTTTATTACAAATATTTGCACTGTAAGAAACAAAAAAATTGTATTTTTCAATTCACCTCATACAAGTGCTATAGTGCAATCTCTTCATCATGAAAGTTGAACTTACAAACGTAGAATTATGTACAAAAAACTAACTGCATTCAAAAATAAAACAACGCAAATCTTTAGAGCCTACAAGTCCACTCAGTCTTACTTCTTGGTCAGCCAATCACTCAGACAAACAAGGTTGGTTACAATTTGCAGGAGATAATGCTGCCTGCTTCTTGTTTACAATGTCACCTGAAAATGAGAACAGGCGTTCGCATGGCATTGTTGTAGCTCGCATTGCAAGATATTTACGTGCCAGATGTGCTAAAGATTCATATGTCCCTTCATGCTTCAACCACCATTCCACAGGACACGCTTCCATGCTGATGATGGGTTCTGCTTGATAACGATCCAAAGCAGTGCGGACTGATGTATGTTCATTTTCGTCACCCGAGTCAGATGCCACCAGCAGTTGATTTTCTTTTTTGGTGGTTAGGGTTCTGTAGTTTCTTAAAAGAGAAGCACACTGATGCGGACTTCTAAAAGCATGCTCCACACCTCGTCCCACTCAGATTTTGAACGGCTCTTCAGACTCTTAAACCTTGGGTCGAGTGCTGTAGTTATTTTTAAAAATCTCACATCGGTACCTTCTTTGCATTTTGTCAAATCTGTTGTGAAAGTGTTCTTAAAACGAACATGTGCTGGGTCATCATCCGAGACTACTATAACATGAAATATATGCAGAATGCGGGTAAAACGGAGCAGGACACATACAATTCTCCCCCCAAGGAGAACAATCACAAATTTAATTGACGCAGTATTTTTTTTTAACAAGCATCATCAGCATGGAAGCATGTCCTCTGGAATGGTGGCCGAAACATGGAAGGGGCATACGAATGTTTAGCATATCTGGCACGTAAATACCTTGCAAAGCCGGCTACAAACGTGCCATGTGAATGCCTGTTCTCATTTTCAGGTGACATTGTAAATAAGAAGCAGGCAGCAGTATCTCCTGCCAATGTAAACAAATTTGTTTGTCTGAGCGATTGGCAGAATAAGAAGTAGGACTGAGTGGACTTGTAGACTCTAAAGTTTTACACTGTTTTGTTTTTGAGTGCAGTTATGTAACCAAAAAAAAATCTGCATTTGTAAGTTAGACTTTCACGATAAAGAGATTGCACTTCAATACTTGTAGGAGGTGAATTGAAAAATACTATTTCTCTGGTTTATCATTTTTACGGTGCATATATTTGTAATTAAAAAATAATAATATAAAGTGAGCACTGTGCACTTTGTATTCTGTGTTGTAATTGAAATCAATATTGAAAATGTAGAAAAACATTCAAAAATATTTAAATTTCAATTGCTTTCTATTGTTATAAGTGTGATTAATCACGATTACTTTGTTAAATCACAATTAATTTTTTTGAGTTAATCACGTGAGTTAACTATGATTAATTGACAGCTCTACATTACATATATTTGACCACTTACATGTGTATATATATATATATATATATATGATATATGATATTGAAGTTCCTCATTTCACTTCTATTTTCAATCAATTGACTAGACTATTAAATGTAAGGGCCTGCTCCTGAAAATGCTACAGGGCACAGAGTTTGTTACTATGAATAATCACACTGAAGTCATGGTAACAAGCACCCAGGAGTAAGTGTTTTAAGGCTTGGAACCCAAGTTTATGAGTAAACAGTGATTACTGTAATGTGTAAACACATCCAATTTGGTTATCAAAAGGACTGAAATGCGTAACTCAAATGATGGCTCATCTGTTTTTCTATAAGTGATTTTCTTTTCTATGAAAGAATTGCACTTATTATCTAAAGATAACATAGACTTTGTCCCAGCCTAAGTGATATACACTGAAGGTCACTCAAGCCTTCATCTGCTGTTCAAAACAAACCATTTTGACAAGGCATTATCCAAATATAAAGCACATGAATTATTCTCAATAGAAAATTCAAATGAAAATCTAACAGGACTATTTCTATGCTTAATACACAATATATTCATATACCTTTTCAGAACAGCTTTAGTAAATTACTAAGTGTAAAAATATTTCACTTACTAAAATATTCCCCTGCTCTTTTATATAAATGCTCTCTTTTCAAGCTGATGTCTTATTCAGCCAAGGTATAACATATCTTCTGCATCATGGAAGATACTCGCAATTACAATCAAGAGTGCTGCCTTAGATTATATGCATTGTTCTACAGCTTCAAATCCTGACTTCACCCTCCAACCAGGTATGGTACACAGGAACTGCAACACTGATGGAGCATTTGCACAGCTGAGATGTATTTTTTTAAAATCTTGACGTTGCTAGCCGTATACCTTATTTAGATCTAGTGCTATTAAAAACCAAGGTCATAAAAAACCAAGCAAGTACTTACGCTACAGTAATGCATGCTTCTCTAACCACCTGGGATCTGAGATCCTTAGCTGATAATTTAAAAGCTCCATCCAACAACCGTAGATGCTGGAAAAAGCAATCATACTGTGCAGCTCCAGCAACAAGCAGCGATCGAACCTTCTTGAGCTACAACAAAATTAAGACAGTTAGTTATCAATAGTCCTGACTGCACAGAGACAGAGGTTTTAAAATATGTAAAGCCTACAGGCAAGTGTCGCTACCTGCAAGGCACATACATATGTGTGTGCGCACATAATTTTGTGTATACACACGCTGAGATTCAGAAGAGGTCCTTTGGAAAAATTACCACTTAAACACCGTTAGAAATATATTTCTCTATATATTCTAGTTATTTTTTTCAAACTGATATTGTAATGATACATCACCACCATATAAAAATATGAGAAACAATTCCATCTTTAAAAGTGTATCTAATATGAAAATTTTTTGAATTAATCTCAATTGTAAATACTTCATTTTGTGAAAGCTTTTTTAGAACAACGTTTGGACAATCTGTTTGGATAAAAAACATACCGCACTGGCTCGCTGATCCCAGTCATGTTTATCATCTGAGAGAATTTCCCTGATTTTGTTTAATGTTTCTTCAAGCTCTCGACTGGAATAGATCTGTTTAAAAACAAATAATATATAGACTTAATATTTCCATGTTTACCTGAGGAAAGGGACAACAACTGTCTTACGTTTAAAAAACAACTGAACTAGAATTTTGAAAACATTAAGGACAAAATTCCACATAGCCAGATTGTAATAGAGTTTCCATTTTAGAACAAATTTTTATTTATATACACAACTGTCATTCAAGGCCTTCCAAATATAAAAGTGTAACACTGATTTTGTGATAAACATTTTATCTCAGGAAAGATTTCAGTCTCAGTCTATAGAACAAGTAAATCACCAACCCCAGTGATTTACTAATTTTAGTAATTTAATTTTTTGATTCAGCTACAATTCAATGTGAATGAAATGTTTAGGCAATAGGTCAATATGTTATTGTGATTAAATTTCAATCTAATTTCCCAGTATGTATATAAAATTGTTCTACTATGGAAATAATATTGGAGCAGGGACTTCTTTTTCTTATGTGTATATAGTACTTAGCTCAATAGAGCCCTGACTGAATTGCTAGGCACTCTACAACACAAATAAAACCAACAATTTGTTTGAAAAATACTTTAAGAATCTCAGTAACATCTATGTGAGGAATATGTATCCCAGTGATGCTTAGCTCGAATTAGGTTTTTTTCAATGTTCCTTTTGTACATTCCTTTAATAAATGCATTTAGTACATTTATTACATTTTTAAAAAATACATTTTGAAGAAGGCCTCTATTTTCACAGTTTGGGTTACCTTTTCACCTGAAAAAACAAAAACAAAGTTTGACTGACCAACAAACAAACCAACAACTCGACAAAACAAAAATCAACTTGTTAACTACTGTTGTCAATTCCAGTGTTCATGTATAAGGAAGATTTCACAAGGAGGAAAATTAGAAGCTTAAGAAAATTTATGTGTTGAAAGTACCCACTTTCATATACAATCAAGTTAATGAAGTCCTTCTGATTTCTCTACACTCACATACCCTTCTCTACTCTCTAGGATTTAACCAGAACATGCTCCTTTCTGCCTTCATGAAACATACTAAATTGAAGTTTCGGTTTTTCTCCAGCCAACAGAGGGAAGCAGGTCAGAGACAGAGTTCCGATTAAGTTCCTCTTAAGCAACTTGCAATAATTTTTTGACAAATTTTTGTTGTTGTTGGAAAATGGTAGTATTTTGAAAATGGAGGTTGGTTATTTGTTACCAGAGGTTCTATGAGATGTGTGGTCCCTATTTGTATTCACATGTGTCTGAGTCCAGACATTTTTAGTAAGCCGTGTCCGTTGGTGCGCACATGGGAGCTAATCTCCTTGTGCTCTGAACTGAAGATATAAACAGCAGAGCAGACCAATGCCTCTCCAGGTCTATTCTTACCAAGGATCTGGTCATGATCCAGGGCAGAGAGGACAGAGCAGTGGAATTCAGATAGGGACCACACATCTTATAAAACTTCCAGTTACAGGTAAGTAACATCCATTTCTTCTTTGAGTGACAATCCCTGTATATTCCACATGAGAGAGATTAGTAAGCAGTAGTCAAACAGGAGGTGGGCGCGAGGCTGCAGATGATATGACTATCTGTAGTACTGCTGTCCATGGGGCTTCAGCCAGAGACAATGTGTGAGGAGGACGTGTGAGGAGGACATGTGGGGTCATGTGCTGCCGGCCCCCTCCCTGCACTGCAGCTACTGGAGCTGGCAAACTGGGGGCTGTGCCTTAGGTAGAGGCAACGGGAAACAGCTGGGAGCTGCAGGGAGAACCACTACTTTTACTGCTGCCTCTCCCCAAGGAGCTAAAACAGAGGACCCTCCATGCAGCTCCCAGCTGTTTGCCGCTATCTCTCCACGCAGAGCTAACACCTGGGAGCGGAAGGAACGCTGAGCGAAAGAGGGAGGTGAGACTGGGGGTGTGAGAAGTTATTGGGGGCCTGAACCTTTAATTGTGCCCCCCACCCTCAGCAGGCACCAGTCATTTCTGGCGGAAGCCCCAAGCCCGCCCTCCCCCCCAGTCTGGTATGCAGAGAATGGGGGCAGGAGCCACACTAACTGTAAAAGAGCCGCATGCAGCTCACGAGCCAGTTTGGCCACCCCGGTAACTAACGCGTAATGTCTTGTAAAGGCATGTATGGAGCTCCAGGTCACCACCCTACATACATCTAGTAAAGGTATGTTTTGCAGAGATGCTGCAGAGGTTGCTTGAGCTCTAATTGAATGGACTTTCACCTCCTTCATGCAGCCTGAGATCCATTTAGAGAGTCTCTGCACAGATAGGCCTTTACACCTTGATATCACTACTATGGTGATAAAAAGCCTAGGTGTCTTTCTAATTGCTTTTGTTCTCTGTAGATAAAAGGCCATCAGACATCTAGGGACTGGAAGCCTTCTCTCTGCATCAGAGCATATGGTTCATGGAAAAATTCCGATAAGTGAATAGTCTGATTCATGTGAAACTTTGAAATGACTTTAAGAATGAACTTCAGTTGGAGGCAAAGACAGACTTTATGGAAGATGGTGTATGGTGGGTCTACCATGAGTGCTCCCAGCTTGCTCACCCTCCTGGCTGATGTGATGGTGACTAGGAAAACAACTTTCACCCAGAGATGGAACAAAGAACAGGTGGCTAATGATTCGAAGTGAGATTTGGTAAGAACCAAAAACATGAGGTTGAGGTCCCACTGAAGTGTTGGTTTCACCATTGCTGGAAAAGTTCTAATAAGTCTCTTCAGGAATCTACTCATCATTGACTGAGTACAGATAGTCCTCAATTAGAGGATGAAAAGCTCTATTGCTGCAAGGTGGACCTGCAGGGAACTATAGAGAGGCCTGATGTCTTATGGGTAAGCAGATATTCTACAAAAACAGGGATTCCAGTGGATCTGGAGATGGCTGGTGGTGTTGTAACCAAGAAAAGAAGCACTTCCATTTGGTCAAAGAGCTTCTCTTGGTAGAGTCCTTCCTCCTTTGGTTAAGAATGGATTGAACTGCCACTGAACATGTATGCTCTGCATCTGATCCCTATTCAAATACCAGGCCTTGAGTTGTAGTGGTCCTGGGCTGCGGTGCCTGATGGTAGCATTGTGTTGTGTCAGCAGATCTGGAAGTGGTCAGATGTTGATGGGAGGATGGGTTGAAATCCTCAGGAGTTCCAAGAACCAGAACTGTCTTGGCCAATTGGGCACAATGAGGCTTACCCAAGCTCTGTTGTGGCAGTTCTTCCACAGGGTTTGCTATATTAGGGGGATGGGAGGTAAGGTGTATCTGAGGTGGTCTATCCTTTGAGTTGCAGCCCAGAGTTGCTCTAGCGCAATACAGGAGTAGTTCCTTGTACTCTTGAGAGATGAAAAGATCCCAAAATGGTGTTCCCCACTGGTTGGGGATCTTGTTCAGAACAGAATCATGAATCTCCCATTTGTGGCCTGTGGAAAAATGCCTACTGAGACTGACTGCTAGTGCATTCCATGCACATGGTAGGTATACTGCTGAGAGGGTTATGTGGCTTCTGATAGTCAATCTCTACACACGGAGGGAGGGAGCTTGCTCCCCCTTGTTTGTTTATGTAGAAGACAGTCGTCACATTATCCAACATTACTTGGCTAGGCCAGGATTGGACGAGTGACAGGAAAGTGTTGCTGGCCCAATGGACCGCTCTGAATTCTAGTAAATTGATATGCACCCTGGCCTCCTGAAGAGTCCACGTGCCTTGTGCAGTAGGATTGTTCATCTTGGCTCCCCATGTGTAACGATAGTCTTCTCAGGTGAAGGTGTGAGGAAAGGAACTCCTGCCTGAATTTCTCCAGTGACCAGCTTTATCAGATCATTCATGGCATCAAATCTCCCAATGGGGAAACAGATTCTTGCTGTAGTCGAGTCTAGATCGCTCCTATGAAATCTATGGATCTTGTGGGTATTAAAGTAGCCTTTTCGTGATTGACACAGGTTCCCAAGGAAGAAAGAAGACGGAATAGAAATAGAGTCGCCAGCCAGACTTCCCTGCTGGGAAGTGGTTCTCTGGATAGCCGTATTCTGAAGGAGGCAGATTGATCCAGTACCTCCTGTGGGTTCTGTCTAGCGTTGTTTTCCTCAGAGTGGGGGGGAAGTATCATCTGGAACAACAGATTTTCTTGATGAAATAATAGGCTCCTGCTCTACTGGTGGTGACATTGATACCAGCGGGAGGATGTTATGAGTTGTGGACACATTAGGAGAGGATTCTCTTCCTCTCAAGGTGATTTCTTCAGGTGTAGGGATGTCTCCAAGGAGATCCAGGAGCAACAAAAGAGGATATTGTGGTTATAAGAGTGAAAATATCCTCAAATGAGGTACAGGTTTTGATCCTCCCTGATGTCTGGGGAGCCCCTGAGAAATGGATTGGGAGATCCTGGTCTAGTACTCAAAGGATTCCATACAGAGTGTGTCGGAACCGTTGGATGAAGAACCAAGGTGGAACTCCCAGATGGGTCTGGTTGGTATCCGCCTTTTGGCTTGTGGGAAGGAGCCAAAACTGGGACTGTCAGATCTTTCTTCCTTCGCACTTTGCCTTCTTGAATGGCAGGTTTATGCGGACCTAACTCCCTAGGAGCTGCGCACAAGGACTCACCCTTGGACTGAGATGGGGAGGGATCCATCCTTATATCTATTGTCACGTTGCCTGCTCTTGTGCAAGGATTTCCTAGGCTTAACAGTCTTACTGTCTACTCCAGAGCTCATGCTCGGAGCAGCGCTGCTTGCAATCTAAGGCCACTATACAGGAGGTCTCCTGGCCTGGATACGAATGCAGCCTCATAGCCTGCTCCATGAGGTGCTTCCATATATGCTAAAATCATGAACCGCTATCCCGACCTGCACAACCCGTATAGGGTAATCTGTTTCAATCAGATTCTGACATTTACCATTTGGATACTCTTGAGTGATTAGAAGAATCTGTCTAGGATTGTGTTATAGAACCAATATAGACTGACCACACCCTGTGCTGTGGAGCATGGCCCTTGCCAACATACTGGGGATAAATGCTAGTAAGAAAGAGTGGTGTATTTGCATTCAAAATCATCCATGCAGTAGCAAGATGTAAACGAGAGGGGGGAAAAAAACTTGCAGCATAAGGGTTGAAATTCTGTAAAGATTTGCTTAAGGGTGGGGCCAGGGTGTTATGGAGATACCTGCAATAAACTATTCCCTTCACAAAAATGGGAAGCTGCACCTTTGCCTATAGATGTCCCCAGAAGTATACCTAACAAACAGCTGTGTTGTCATATGGAAGGAACACTATATACCACTGTGGATCAGTCATACAGAGGATCCTTTATGGCAATCACAGCCTGCAATGAGTTCTTAGTGTTCTACTATATGCTGGGGGTTTAGGTAATTTTTTTCCAACAAGAGAGTACTTAACAGACGGCCCAACCACATGAAGCACCAAATATCTATAGTTCAGCACTCTGATAATTCAGACCACTTAATTAAAGGTCAGATACCAAAAAGAACTCAGCACCCCTAATTTAGGCACCCAGGTAAGAGTCTAGACTTTTCAAAAGAGTTCTGTTAGAAATGAGCACTTTTGAAAATCTATCTGGGTGTGCTGGATTCAGGTCCTAAATTTTAGGCACCCAACTTTGAAAACATTAGCCTTGCTTTTTAAACCATTTGTCTAGTTCAGCATTTAATAAAGTTACAACCCTAGATTTTCCATAAAATCATGTCTGTCTTTCATTCACATCATGTATCAGCATTAAACATGTAAAATAACACTTCAATGAGAACAAGGTCACTTCTCTCAGCAGTTACTGGGAAAAGATTAAGACAATAATAATAGGCTTGAACCTGAAAATAAAATAAAAGGTTAATTAGTAACTAATAGTTGAAACAAACAGTTTCCAAGAGAGGCTGGGAAATAACCATCAATGGAAAACTTAAGGACTAATTTGACACTATTTACCAGGAACAATGCAATGATGATGGAATCGATCCTATTATGACGCAAAACTGGACTCAATTATACATTTGCACTTATTTCCAAAGCGAGTATTTCCATGATTAGCTGCTGTATCAAAAAAAATATATATTTTCACTTTTTTTAAAAAAGAGGGTACCTATTCATATGGTAAGGACCATGGCACAGGAAGTTTACATGTTCATTTTGAATGCAAGTAATAACCAACATATGTAAACACAGGCATTGTATGAGTGTATTAAACAATTCCTAAAGTTAATATCTTGGTAAATTTTAATCCACTATTCACAAAGAACAGAAAGGAAATTAGCAATGTGAATCAAACCTCTTGTCAACTTATTTTAAAAAAATCAAACCCTCCATGACTCAAATTACACAAGAAAGCTGTTAAAAAACACCACCACTATTTTGGGTTTTTTAATACACTCAGCACAAACTGTCCTTTGCCTACATTAGAAATAATATTAATACCCTAGAGCAGACCAATATACCAAAGTTCAGTGCAGAACAAATCTTACGGCTAACTTCTAATTCTAGCCTAAAAATATAATAGAAGCCAACACCCATTTTTAATATGTATGTGCAGGCACTGGCAATAATTTGAAGGGGAAAATTTAACAATACCCAGCTAAAGGCTGATCATTTCATGACAACAAAGCATAATTAGAAAAAAAATTAAAGATTAAAGAAGCTTGTTGACACAGAATTGCAAATCAAAACACACAAGAATAAGACATTTCTTCTGAAAATAAAATTGAGCACAAATTACAATGTCTTACCTGTACAGAAGGAACATCTGTAAATGCCTTAATAAAATCATCCTCATCGACAGCTCCAGCTCCTCCTTCTTTAGATGCACCTATGTAAGTTTCAAAACAAACAAACAAAAAAAACCTGCTTAATGGTGTCTAATACATTTCAAATATATAAAGATTTTCCAGTTCAAATACATTCAATTTATATTTAAATTTAGTTACTGTGTAATCTTTATTACCTGGTAAGGCAGGTTGAAAATTTTAATAGAACTGATAAACATGGAATTTCTAATATATAGGAAATTTTAATATTCTAACATCTGTTTTCATCTTTAATCTGGACAGAATCAAAATACCAAAACTTTTCACAAAATAGTAAGTTACAAAAAAAATTGATCTGGGAATGTCAAATTTCTTTCTGACATTTTCAACCAAAACAAAACGTTTCAACATCCTCAAACTGAAACATTTAAAATTTGTTAACCTAAGATAAAATATTTTTTCAATTTTACCATAGAAAAAATCCCCCCCCCCTTCAACATTTTACAGTGAAAACATTCATTTTTGCTGAAACCACATTTTCTGCCAAAAAAAACAACGGAAACCCATCACCATACAACAGGCTTGTACAGAATGCCTCCACTATCTACTGAAATAAAATAGGTTTTCCTTGAACATGTACCATACAATCAATAAATAGTGTATTTAAAAATCATATTTAAAGTAAATCTTCATTTTAAGTAATTCCCCTGCTATGAAGATTCAAAATATAGGGCCAATCTTGCAGCCATTCCATAATGCCCACTGAAGTCAAGGGAAAGCTGCATGTAGAAAGACTAGACTAATTGTGATCATTTCAATACACAGCAACAACACAAACACACAAGTGAAAAACAAACAAAAAGTTTAAGAAACAAGCTGAAACTAACAATCTGACCATGTGCTCAAAAGGCTGTCTGAGCTTATCTACTTATTCTTCTTTAAAATTTTACTTCAAAGGTCAGATGTACCATAGTTTACAGAGGGCTTCTGCAGTTTGTTACCAAAATAAAATTATTCAGTAACACTTTCAAACAGTAACTCTATAAGGTTCCTATCAACATTCCTTTTTCAGAATTATGCCAACAAATATTGTTCTTGTAGCAATAGCCAACTAACAGCAGAGACAATATCTGATGTGGAGCAGAAAAGCAGCATACAGAAGGGTTGCATCATACGCGCATTTAACTTGCGCGAATTCAACTATACGTGCTGGGAGAAAAAAAAAGAGAGAGAGAAACAACAATTTAAATAGTGCGGGCTGAGCGGGGCTGGCGGCTGGTATCCCAGACTGGCAGCGGGCTGAGCAGCCAGTCTGGGGTTCTGTCCGCCGGCTCCTGCCAGCCGGAGTCCCGGCCGCCGGCCCGCTCAGCCCGCTGCCGGCTGAGTGTACGGAACCCCAGGCCGGCAGCGGGCTCAGTGGCAGCCGGGACCTGTAGGCTGACATTGAAGAAAAAAAAAAAAAATTGGCTCGCGTGCTACCTTTGGCACACATGCCGTAGGTTGAAGACCCCTGTTCTAGTGTATACCGTGTGTACTGTACTTTATGGTAATTTTCACTATATACGCTGACCTCAGAACCTAACCCCCACGTAAGATGTGACTCCACTGTAGACTCAGTTTACACATAAAAAGTATTATTTTGCTACTTGTAACCCAAAAGCAATAGCCCCATCCCTTTTTCAGCCAGGCAGTCAAAGGCCCTTTGGAAAAGGCACATACTTTATTGGTGCAGTCTGGTTCCCTTGGTCCTACCCTTCTGACTAATACTGGTGTGATGCTATTATTGCCTGACAGAAGCATCAGATTACTGTATTCAGGATGAGCTGCAATTAAGTGCTTGGCAGAACTGCATTAAGATACAAGAAGTTTCACCTTTCTTTAAATGGGACCAAAATTTTTCTACTAGCTTAAGAAGAGAGTTGGAGACTGGTTAATGACTGATTCTTATTTCCACTTTGATTTTTCTGGGTAACAATAGCTGGTATGCTGGACCAACTGTGAGAAGGGTCCTTACTAAGAGCACAGCAGCGATGCCAAATGGTTGGAGGCTGAAAACTGATTGTCTTCAGCATTCCTCTAATAATATCTACATTTCCTTATCTTCCTCCAGTGGGAGTCTACTCTTTCTGTTGAATCCGGAGAATGTGCAGGCAGAAAATTATAACAGTTCTTATTCATGGACTGTACTCTTCCTTGTTCAGTGTTGGTAATAGGGGACATTGTATCAAATATTTTTTCCTAAATTTCCCCCCTACCACTTTGTCTAGGAAGGAATCCCAAGAAGAGTCCTTCCCAGAAATGGTGTGAAGCTCACTAATTACCCAGAAAAGTAGTTTTTCTTTCATGCCTGGAGCCACAAGTATCTTCTAGCTACAGTGTTAGAAACCACAACCATGGAAGAAAACTGATAGAATTCATTGTGGCATTCATGACATATTATGCTGTGATTGAGATTTTGATAAGGATGGCCTAAAAGTTTGTCCTTGGGCAGCAATAGTTCTTTTTGAATCTCAAACTAGATCATGATTACCCTTACTTAGAAAGTATCTGATGAGGCTTGCACACACTTAGCAGGTGCCTCATAAAAGAAAACCAAGTCAAAACTGTTTTGGTCCTTTGGCAAGAATTCTCCTTCTGGGAGTAATAATTTCCGTGCCTGATGCTGCCAGAGCAAGGTGTAATTTTGTAATTTAGGTCAGGGACAGGACTAATTTTAGAATGAGTAAAACTTCATCACTACTTTATTCATTTGCCTACCCTTTGCTGGTTGCTCCCATTCTGATTTGATTGCTTCCTTGGATCATTCTTGTTGCTTCAGAGAAAGTAATCCTGGTTGGAGGAATTTGTTCAAATTTTGCTCAGCAGTTGGTTCACACTCAAGACCAGGGAGACTTGGCTGGTCATCTTCATTCTTACTGGGAACGGGAATGCCTGTTCTAAGCATTAGCTCCAGATTATTCAGTGCCTGAAAACGGACAATTTCTTTAAATCAGAAGTGAAGAATTAGAGATGGAGCTCCTATGCATCTTGAATTTCTTGCTGCACTTCCTGAGTGTGTGGAGGGCTTTTTTTTTTTTTTTTTTTTAGATTTAGGAAAATAAGTTTATTCAGAATAAGGATCCCTTGTCTTTAAGGGCTTGTCTACATTGGCAATTTACAGCGCTGCAACTTTCTTGCTCAGGGGTGTGAAAAAACACCCCCCTGAGCCCAGGAAGTTTCAGTGCTGTAAAGCGCCAGGATATACAGTGCACCAGCGCTGGGAGCCGCGCTCCCAGTCCTGGTAGCTATGCCCCTCGTAGAGGTGGGTTTTTTAGAGCGCTGGGCGAGCTCTCTCCCAGCGCTCTGCCGCGACCACAAAAGCCACATTAAAGCGCTGCCACAGCAGCGCTTTAGCACTGTCAGTGTAGACTAGCCCTAAGAGGTTTTAGCGTTTGGTATTTTAAGGAATTCATTAGTCCTAGTACTGATGGATCAACTGGTTGTCCATAACTCTAACCCAAATTACATATTAGTAGCATTTGAAGAGCAGGCTGAAGCACCAGGAACAAATCCTGCTTTTGCCATAAAGGTTTGTCAGCATAATTTAGGCTGTTGTTCAGGAATGGAGATGGCTCCTGAGGTGCTTCGGATCTGACACAGGGCCGAAGAGGAAAGCAAGTCTTACTTCCTGGACAGTACTAGAAGAACCATCCTCTTCAAGTTACCAGATTTGCCAGATTTCTTGCCTTTTCTGTGTCTCTAGGGCTCTCCCTTTGAAGTATGTTTCACCTGTTCTGCCATCAACATGGAAGGCTCTGAGTTTACACACTATTTTTCAAAGACTCAATCACAAAAATGTGCTGAGTGCTATGCAGGAATTTCTGAACCTTTTGTGAGAAGGATACCTGCTGACTCCACAAACAAGGTAGGATCTCAACAATTTGGGTGCTTCTGTTACATAAAAGCTGCCTTTGATAAGACTGTCCATTCTGTACCAAACTGATGCTGGCTATACAGCTTCCCCATACAGAGGCTCCCTGCCATGAGGTGAAAGAGAGGGACGATGACAATAGTACAGAGGCGGAGAAGGAGAAAGGTGAAAAGAAGTGGGAAGGATTCTCCTGAGTTCCTCCAAAAGCAAATATAGTCCAAATAAAATGGGAGTTCTAGAGTTGCTATGCCCAGCTCCTGCAGAGAAAGAAACCTCTGATTACTGAGTACTGGAATGAGTTTTGCCATCATAGCTTCATAGCTCTAGCTGCCGCTAAAAACTTCAGAAACGGAGTTCAATACATGAGAAAAGGTCAGTGGACATGTCAATCCATGAGTGACTTTTTTGGTAACATTTTTGTTTTAATAAATGCACAGAGTCAATTTAAAAAACCACACTTCTGTCCAAAAATAGTTTATTATTGTTACAATACCGAAGAGTACTGTAATAAAAGTGAGAAAAAAGTTGTTTGTTTTTACTTTGCATATATATACCATCATTGGATATTAGTTTCACTGTATCCTCTTTATTCAGTATCTCCTGTTTGAATAGATGCATCTGTGAAAAAATCTTTTAAATAGGAAAATGTAACTGAAAACGCACAAAAATTGGTAGTGGAATTTAGGGCAGCTGTAGTCCTTGAAACTATTTCTAACTCATTTTTTCCCTCTTAAAATGGTCACCCTAAAAACAGAGTTCCCGGAATCAGAAATATGTTCAACCCAAAATGTAATTCCCAAATGCAGAGATAAATATGCCAATGAACTTTGCCAGAGAGTGGTATTGGACAATTGCTCTTCATCCCTAATGGTTCTGTAGTTCCACATCTTATTTCGCCCCCCTTGTTCAACGTGTACTTGGAGAGGGTTAGTAAGGTGTGGGCTCCAGTGTTTTCAGTACCCTGAAAACACCACGCTCTCTATCTGTATCTCACCTAACTCAACAAGTATTGTCAAACATCTGGCCCAGTGTCTGTCAGAGACTGGAATGCAAATGGAGGCTGGCTGCCTGAAGCTCAATCTGGCCAAGACTGCGGTGATACTGGCAGTTTGGGTGAAGCAACAGGAAGATATAGCAAGAGTATATCTAATC